CACGTAAATACATTTTTTTTCTCAATCCACGAAAATTGGTACTCATGCAAATAACTGAATTCATATCATTAGCTCGTGTACGTACTCCGTCTTCTACAAATATGAAACACTTCGTATAGGAAAGGTATACCATTTCTCAAATTAAAATACTGATTACGTCATGGAATATTTGCGTCCTAAAAGAATAGAAATATGTCAATGGGTCATATGCATCCGTTGTTACTTTATAATTCCAAAGGCTGAATCAAAGCGATGTGAATATCTATTTAATGCTATTTCGAATTTTCAGTTTCTTTTTGTGGAGCCTGCAAAATTTATTTCGCGAAAGCGAGACATTGCGATCCTAGATTCCGTCGTCGGCGTAGGCTTCGGCGTCGGCGGCGTCAACATTGAGATTCAGTCTGTGGTTAAAGATTTTTTTTTGGACATCAATTACTTTGTCAAACCTTCATGGAATTTTATGAAATTTGGACAGAAGCTTGTTTATGACCAAAATACAGTATTCAGAACAAATTTTTTTTCCGTATTTTACTGATAAATGGACTTAATTTTTTCACATTTAACATTCAGATTCAGTCTGAGGTTAAAGTTTTTCAGTCATCAATAACTTTGTCAAACCTTCATGGAATTTTATGAAATTTTTACAGCAGCTTGTTTACATGTATGACCAAAATACAGTATCCAGAGCAAAATTTTGAAAATATTTTTTTTTTATTTTTCCGTATTTTACTGATAAATTGACTTGGTTTTTTTCACATTTAACAAATAGATACAGTCTGGAGTTTGTTACATATCAAATACTTTGTCAAACCTTCATAGAAATTTATGAAACTTTTTTTATGATTAAGAGATAATGTCTGAAGCACACTATTGAAAATATATTTTCATTTTCAGTATTTTTCTGATAGATGGACTTTTTTTACAGTTAACATTTACTGACAGTCTGGGATTAAATTTTTTTGACATGATAAGTTTGTTAACTTCATGGATTGTTATGAAACTTGGACAGAAGCTTATCTTCCAGACCAAGAAATAACATCTAGAGAGAAATTTTGAATCTTTTTTAACATTCTGTATTTAACTGATAAATGGACTCACTTTTTAAGTCAGCATTACACTTTTACTCTGACAGCAGCAATCGTAGGCGAGACACATTTTTTATGCCTTTTTATTATAGTTGTTTCATTATTTTAGTCTTTAAACTTTTATCTGCATTTATCGTGTTTTACTACCAACATGATTAATAAGTACATGTAACCAGTATTTAATTGACTGAAATCGATCGTGTAAGCAGAAATGTTACCCAAGGTTTAGTTTAAATACCAGAATCACTCACTTCAAGTCAAGATTCAAGATTTTATTCATGACCTCAGACACATAAAGGTGTACAAGAGGATAATATAATTAAAACATAAGATAATACATAGCGAGACAGGACAGACAAAACACAAACACATAGTGTGGTATAAAAGACATTTGGTATTAGTTATTTTCTTTACGAAAATTGGTAATTCTTTTTGCACTTGTACGTTACATAAAGACAGCAAACCAGTAAAGTTGTTCTTGCTTGAATTATTAACATAATAATGTGGTATAAACTTTGATCTTAGAGCAGAAATATCAGTATTTTTACAGGTAAACAATTATTATACATGATACTCATCAGTCAAGAACATATCTTTAAATAAAGGTAACGTGTTCATTTAAAAAATACTGCAATGGTTTATTTGCTACATATGCATCCGCTGTAATCAAATAACAATCCCATTTCATTATAACAGTTACCGTTATCTGGAACATTTTTAAATCTTATAAATGAACACCTTTCAGCAATCTTAACTTGTCCAAATATGCAAGAAGTTTTTGCAGCTGTTAAAGGTATATCGTATTTAGCTGGTAAACACTTCACGAGGGATTTGGCATTTTAATGCATGCACTTCCTTGTAATTAGTCTTTAGTTTTACCATGAATTTTTTACAATACACACATTTTTTTTAATTTGACCATGAATAAACTTGTAATAAAGCATGATGAATAGTTTTACTTGATATTATCATTTTACTTAAAGTTTAAGTCATCTTAGTCAGAAAGTTCATTTGATAAACTTTTGCTGATTTAATATTATTAAAAGATTAGATTTGTCGGGACAACACAAATATCCCCTCCTACTCAAAGACAAAAAGAATAAAAAGAAGTTCGCCAAGAACAGCAAAATATGCATAATGAAAAAACATCAATGGCAGCCATGTTTAACATATACTGTAATGTTGTGACCATGATTGATCCTGATCCAGACCCACTCAGTTATTTTCCCCTGTTTGTAGATCTTCTCTTGCTGATCACAGTTTCTCATAACTATTATAAAAGTTCTCAAGAAAATAGCCAAAAGCACATAAAATGAGTAAAAATAGTCCATGAACGTCAAAACCTCCGACAAGGTGTTGATTGACAATAAAAGTTATGTTAACTTATTTATATATATAATCTTGCTGGTCATTTTTTGCAGGAAACAGTTTCCCCCGCTCATAGTTTTTTTTTATATAATATCAAAAACCTATAAAGGGTAGAATTTATCATTTAAGGGTTATAGTTCATTTACGAACAGATGCTCTGTATGTGTCTGTCACAACTCAGGAGTCTGTAATTCAGTGGTTGTCGTTTGTTAATGTGTATCATATTTGTTATTCGTTCATTATTTTGTACATAAATCAGGCCGTTAGTTTTCTCGTTTGAATTGTTTTACATTTGTCATTTCGGGGCCTTTTATAGCTGACTATATGGTATGGATTTTACTCATTGTTGCTTGTAAATAGTTGTCTCATAGGCAGTTATACCACATCTTCTTATTTTATAGGATAGACAATTTCAGTTGTGTAGACATATTGTTTATTTTTTTGTGATCATCTTGCTATCTGCAGTTTCTCTCTTAACTACAATCACAAAAAAATATAGTTTTCATGAAAGTAGACAAAACAGCAAAATCAATTAAAATTGTCATCGGAATAGTAGTAGATCTTATTTTGCTGATCATTTTGGGCTATTTTAGTTTCTCTCTATTTACTACAGAAAAAACAAGTGAAACAGCGAGCTACTGCTCACTGATGATATCCGCGCCACAACTGGATAATTTTAATAGTGTAAAAATATGTAAGTGTTCGGTAAACAGGAAGTTGTTGAGTGTTGAATCTGAAAACGCATCACATGGTATAGCTGACTTATATAAACCCTGAAACCAAATTTCAGAAATCCTTATGATGTAGTTCCTGATAAAGATGCGACGAAAAGTATTCATGGGACGGTCGGACGGACGGACGGATGGATGGACGGACGGACGGACGGACGGACGGATGGGCGGACGGACGGACTGACAGATAGAGGTAAAACAGTATACCCCCACTTTTTTTTAAGCGGGGGTGTAAACACTAGGAGGACATCCTCATGGAAGAGCAATTACTCCTATAAGAGGTCGATATTTGTCATTTACTTTTTCAGATCTTGTCTAGCTGGTCATTTTTGCTGTATGAAGTGTCCTCTATCTGTTATAGTTTTTTAAAAAGATAGTAGCAACAAAAAAACGTTGAAAATAAGAATATCGTCATTTAAGTTAATAAATCATATAAGAAAGGGAGTGACGATTTTTGTCAATGTAACTTATGACAATGTTTGCTGTTTAACGTTTCTCTCTGTGTAATGTAGATTTCAAAATTATAGCCAAATACGCAAAAATATGGTAAAAAAATGGTTATGTAAGGGCAATAACTCACATAAAGAGTCGATTTACGTTTCAGCAATGTTGAATTACTCATAGATCTTGTATTTTTTGCTATTATAAGTTTCTCTCTAATTGTTATAGTTTTTAAGATGATAGCAACAACAAAAATGTGTAAATCTTCGTTTCAGTTAATAACTCAATAATTCAGCCCAGTAGTCAGCCCTTCTGTCTTGACATGAATTACCATTGATATATAAAATAAGAAGATGTGGTATGATTGCCAATGAGACAACTCTCCACAAGAGACCAAATGACACAGAAATTAACAACTAAAGGTCACCGTATAGTCCTCAGCAATAAGCAAAGGTCATTTTTATAAATTAACGTTTTACAAAACTTTAAATTTTTCAAAATAGTGAGGATTTTCTACCCCATGCATAGATAAATTTGGCTGTATTTTTAATCCTCATTGCTCTTTAACTTCGTACTTTATTTGGGCTTTTTAACTCATTAACGATTTTGGCCAATGTGACTTATGATCATTTTTGCTCTTTAAAGTTTCTCTCTGTGTGCTGTAGTTTTTTAAGATTATAGCCTATAGCCAAATACGCAAAAATATTGTTTAAAAAAATGGTTGTAAAAGGGCAATAACCCACAGTCTCAAATAGTCGATTTACGTTTCAGCAATGTTGAATTACTTATAGATCTTATATTTGCTGGCCATTTATTATTTAAGTTTCTATTCATCTGTGACAGTTTTCGATTTGATAGCAAAAATTCGGAGTTTGTCAAAAATGGACATTTTGGTTGTTTTCTGCTCTTTGAACGGGTTGTTGTCTCTTTGACACATTCCCCATTTCCATTCTCAATTTTATTATAATGATCATGACTCTAAATGGGTAATTCGATTTACTGAATTTTTTTGTGTATACAGCATATCCAACAGTATCAACACAGACACAACACTAATGATATTCCTGGAGAGTAAATAAGTACCTGCAGCTAGTCAAGTAAAAACCATTTGTTCGGGTGTTCAATTGAAGGTAATAAAATTTTAAGTGAAATACTAGATACATATATAGACCTATTATCTCTTTTAATAGTACAAGCCACACAAATAAACGTGATTTCCTGCAAGTTAGGACTGTAGTTATCTGTGAACTTGAAGGGTTAAATTGTATATTGAGTTTTGTACTTGAATCCAGACAGGTTTGGTATCTACAGATATAAAGAGATTAGAGTAATAGAAGCAAACTGAATTCTCTTTAATTTGATTAGTCTAGAAAGATAGACATGTGGAAAGAAATATTAGTGGTGTTAGTTATTTCTTGTACAGTTGCCACCTCTTCTAAGGTATGCAATATGATAGTTTAATTACACCAAAGTATAAAAATGCATGGTTCCGCAATTTTTTTTATAAATGCGTTTAGGAATTGCATGTTTATCGTTATCATTGCGAAATGTTGGTGTGTATATGAAGTGCTCTTAAATGATCAATACAATTACTTAATTTTCCAGCAACTCAATTTAATGATGCTTTAAACTGGTGTTATTTTTTTGTGATAAGTTGTTTTTAGATGTTTTTGGATAGTACATCAATTACTGTTTGATATTTGTTATTCAATTTTTAAATTTAAATAGCTATGGACAAGCTTGTCATATGTCAAGCTTTGATTTGCCCCGAGTTTAAACAGTTTTGTACAATTTGGAATTTAGTATGGCGTTCATTATCACTGAACTAGTATATATTTGTTTAGGGGCCAGCTGAAGGACGCCTCCGGGTGCGGGAATTTCTCGCTGCATTGAAGACCTGTTGGTGACCTTCTGCTGTTGTCTGTTCTATGGTCGGGTTGTTGTCTCTTTGACACATTCCCCATTTCCATTCTCAATTTTATTGAATAAATTTAACGGAGATATTTATCAAAACGAAGTTTTAAGAAGAAAGATAATCGTGATCGAAATTTGTTATGACCGCAAGGCTTAAAAAGTAAGAGATTTTATCGTGAAAACTCATCAAAGATACCAGGCTTATAATTTGTAACACCAGAAGCTCATTTCGACTACACGAGACTCATCATTGAGGCTCAAATCAAAACATTTTAAAGTCCAAATCAAATACGAAGTTAAAGATCATTACGAACCGAAAAAAGATAGAATATATATTAACTGATTTTCATTTTATAGGTTGAATGTAGACATGATTCACAGTGTGGTTCAGATGAATGTTGTTACTACCATGAAGGGCCGTTGATGGTTAGTAAGAGAAGACAGGTTGCTTTTTTACCTGTCACAGCACCGATTATGTTTCAAGGTTAGTTTTTATAACACCGGTTATGTTTCAAGGGCAGTTTTAACCGTTACCACTAAATTTATGACACGTGTGCTTTCAATGTTTGTTATAACCATTACCACAACATCTTTGACACGTGTTCTTTTAAGGTCTGTTATAAACGTTACCACTAAAGCTATGATACGTATTCTTTCACAAAATATTTTCAGTGAAGCTCACGGAAAAATTATCGCTTACTGGTTTTAGAAAAGAAAAAAAAATTTCACATCCCTAGCTCTTATCCAATATTTAAGGATATATTCAAAAGAGTCTGTTCATGGCCAATCATAATGGCACTATATATCATTTGGTTTCGAACAACAATGAATAAGTAGTTTACGTGAATAGGATTCCAATGTTCACTTGATTTTACAGTCTCTTCATATTTTTGATAATTGTAATAGTCATTTGTACAGTTGAAAAAGTAAGCAAGTCTATACAAATTTGTATAAATCATTTTATTCTTTTGGTATTATGATCGAAACTGATCGATATCTGAATATTAGTATATCTATGCCATTTCCGGTCTGTTCTAGAGCTGGGCATTAATAGAGCAAAATAAATTTTGTTTGTTACAGCTGATATGTGCCAAAGCAACAGTCCACAAAAAAATACACAAATCCTCTAGAAACCCTCACAAAAACCGGGGGTTAAATGATTGATTCATACGGTAATACGAATTTATAGAATTTGTACGCATTATTTTAGGGAACAACTGGTAACAAGGTAGCAAACTATTAAAAGTTATTTCATTTTTATCGTTTAAACAAATATAAATCAAAAGAAATAGTATTTTGAGAATTAGCAAACAACTACTTCTATTACATGCTATAGAGAAAAAAGAGTTATCATTTTCATAGCAAAAAACAAAGAAGACTCTCAAACGTATACGCACAATTCTATTGCAGGGATGTTCGTGACAACACAATACCTTTTTCGGTCCTAGACAAATGTATATATCTCACGCATTGTTTTGTATATTATGCCTTTGAAAAATAATGATGTCTTAATAAAAAAAAAATCAGACCCGTAGCCAGAAAGTCTCTGAGATGGATTGTTTGGGGTCACGACGCTCTGAATTTTTATTCGAATCTCGATTTTAATAGCCTTTAATATTTCATTTCTTTTCAGAGGTTAGTCCGACAGCATACTAAGAAATACCAATAAATAATGTTTTCCTTTAATGGTAATATATTGATCAGTTGACGAATAAAATTCATTTTTAAATTAAGCCACCAAGAAAGCGCTTTCACTTTATCTATTTCTCTCTCTATGTTTCAGGTGGATGGTGTGAAAAATACAAGAAACAAGGTGAATACTGCAATTACTTTAGCAAGATGAATGGTCACTGTGATTGCGGAGCTGGACTGAAGTGCACTTACATAGCAGATCCGACATTGCCTCCAATTACCCCGTCAGCAGCAATGACAGCAGAACACAAGCGAATGGTGTTATTTGGTGGACATACTGAATGCCAACCAATACCTTCAACATAAGAATAAAAAATATCAATATGTTCGTAATCATTCGCAAGATCAAATTCAGCTTATACTAGTAGAATTGATGTGTGTTATGAGTTTTACTTAGTGCCAGTTTGATATTATTGTTTGTTACATAAGACAATATCATGGTACCCAGACTGGCAGTGGGCAGTATTTCGATACTGCTATGGTAGTTTGACTGCTTTCTTAATTGTAGATATATCTTGTTCTTGTCCGATTTTGGTTTTCAATATTCTGATTGTTGTATTTTCCTGCTTTCAATTGTTTTTGTATATTTTTGGATGTCTAATCTGTTAGCTTTGTGAGTACCAAGAACAGTTGGTAAAACTTCACTATTGAAAGATACAACTAGGTCTACTTCATACCATGACCTGCAATTACCTTCAAATAAAAAATGAGGATCCGATAAGAAATAAACTTTATGATAAAACAATTACTTCAGTTTTAGCTAAAATGAAATTTCCATATTTATGAAACCAAATTCCCACAGCAACAAGACCGGCGTACGAAGTATATTGGTGGTCGTTGGTTTTTAACGTGCGACTAACTGGTAAGGAATTGCGCACACTGTTCTATAGGATTTTACTCCAAGTCGTCTAACTTGCGTATAACCTTCATTTTTCTACGTTTGGAGTTAGTGGATGATCTCAATCAATTTGCGGTATATATCAGGTGAAAATCAGCGGGTGAATCTTGGGTCATCAATGTCAAATGCGTCAGAGTACTTTGTTGTACGAAGTGTTGTTTTTCTATGAATCTTATTTATATCTCCCAGTTAATGTGATATTCCAAAGTTTGTGCTCCCGCTCAAGTTTTCCTTCATAGATTATTTCTACTTGAATGAAAACAAAAGCAAAGGTTCCTAAACTTAAAGCCGTCTTTTTAAAAGTTCAATGAACACCATCATTGTTTTGAGGCATTTGCTGCTGTAAAATAATCCAATCTTACTTTCATTGTTTATGACGATCAACGAAATCTGCGATGCCACTCGTCCTGATAAACATGATTCTTTTTCTTTTGATGTCCTTCTTCGACTTTTGATTTTGATAGATTATATAAAAAAAATAATAGTCTGAACAATCCAGCGCGCAATTATGTTAAACCAAAAGGCGAATTGGGAATTGAAGGGTGCTTCAACCTCTGCCTGTATGACTCTACTCAGCTCTTCATAAAATTGTATCTCGCGTTAAAGTGACGTCAAATGCTGACCCTAAGACCACAATTATGACCCTTTGATTTTCGTCCCCAGTGTAAACACTGTATTACTTCCAAATGTTTTGCAGCTGTTAAACGTTACGGTATGTCGTATTTACCTGGTAAAGGAGGGATTTGCCATTTTAATACACGCACTTTCTCGAAATAAGTCTTTAGTTTCATCAGGAAAGATTTTCAAATACACTCATATTTTCTTTATATTTTACCATGAATTACCTTGTAATAAAACACGATAAATAGTTTTAATGGATATCATCATTCTACTTTACAGTTTAATTCATCTTAGTAGGAACATACATTTGTTAAAACTTTTGCTGATCTAGTATTATTAAAAGATAAATTTTGTCCTAACAACACTAATATCCCCTCTTTAAGAATGACTAAAGGACTAAAGATTTGGCCACCAGAACGGTGAAATATGCAACATTAAGACATTAAATCTTAAGCCAACATGTCATCATTTTTAAAATACTGTTTAATATTAAGTAAGATAGTAAATTTTATTCAAAGTCGGCATATATGTACAGAGTAAACATGAGCTCTTATTAGCTCTTTAACCGACTATCATATACAAATCATCCAGCTCCATGCAAAAGATCTTTTACCATAACGTGAGGTTCTTGGTCTAGGTACCTCGGCAGTGTTTACATACCTGAAATTATATGAATAGTTTTTCTTGAATAGATAAAAAGTAAAATAGCAAAAATACCGAGCTTCAAGGAAAACTCAAAACGGAAAGTCCATTATCAAATGGCAAAGTTAAAACTCAAAAATATCAAATAAATAGAAAACAACTGTCATATTTCTGACTTGGTACAAGCATCTCCTAATGTAGAAAATGGTGGATTAGACATGGTTTAAAAGGTAGCTAAACCTCTCACTTGTATGTCAGTCGAATAGAATTCCATTATATTGACAACAATGTGTGAGCAAAACTAACAGACATAAAAGGTAAGATTGTCAAAAATTTGGGTACAACAGTCAACATTGTGTTTTAATCGTAATCACTATAAATAAAGGCAACAGTAGTATACCGCTGTTCGAAACTCATAAATCGATAGAGATAAAAACAAATCGGGGTTACAAACTAAAACTGAGGGAAACGCATCAAATATAAGAGGAGAACAACGACACAACAAAAACACAACATTAAAATGTAACACACACAGAAACGAACTATAATATAACAATGGCCATTTTCCTGACTTGGTACAGGACATTTTAAGAAAAAAATGGTGGGTTGAACCTGGTTTTGTGGCATGCCAAACATCCCGCTTTTATGGCAACGTCAAACATAACACCAAAACGACAACATCACATGACAGGACCACAATACAAATAAATGGGAGAACATATAGGACAAAGAAACACACGAATAATAGCTAGCAGAAGGTACTAGGCTTAAAATTCAATATAAAAGAAATAACTATTTCAACAAAGAAAAACAAAATGGCATATAGACACTCTGTAGACAAGGTACATGACAAAAATGAAAGACAAAAATACAAAAAAATACCATAGCACAATAACACAATGGCCGGATGTATAAATACCGAGCCACGCTTAAGTATATTACCAAAAATGGGCTAAACAGTAAAGGTTAAAAAAAACAAAGACAAATAAAAACACTATATCACGTATTTAAGATGATAAACAACGTCAGTAGCTATAATCTATAATTCAAGACCATCATGTATTATTTATGAAGTTAATACGGTGTATTTATCAACAAGGTCGTGGTATCTTCCGATGAACTTTTTTTTTAGAAACAGTCCGAGACGTTCTTTGACATAACCCTGGATCGTCAACTTTCTGCTTAGACACTGTTACAGTTTTATCAAGTCTGAATAGCAGCTGCAAGCTCTTGAGTTCCGAATGAGTTGGGAAATATATATTCCATATGCAGGTGAAGTTGGTATGTTGCTGCTAAGGTGGGAGAAATTATTTTTTCAAAGTTAAATTCGTCACATTTGTCATAAAGATGGCCGCTTATTTAAAAAAATGAGGCGGAGGAAGCCGTGTCTGTTGTTCTAGGAGATATATCAATGGAACCCAATCAGAAAAAAAATGGATTGTCAATGGAAAGAACATCATCAATATACCGAATGTCAAATTAAATTATCTGGCTTTTTTATCTTCTTGTTTTGAAGTGTCTGAAGGAACTACGATTCATATGAAAATAAGAGTTCGACAAGGAGAGCCGCACAGTTCGTTCTCAAAGGAATGTCGACAATCTGTTGAAAAAGTCTACCTCCAAGTTCAACAAATATGTTGTCAATAAGAAACTCGAGCATACTGATCACTTGTTCCTCTGTGTAGCATGTTTTACTTTTTTGTTCACTATTAACAAAATATGCCGTATGGTATCCCAAAGCAATAAATTTATAGCGTATGCTACCTTTTTATATTGAATTATTTCTTTTAGATGATTTTTATTCAATTTCACATGAGGAATGGTGGTATACAGGGTTGAGAAATCAAATGTTTTGATGGAATTAGTTACAGAGAAAGATCGAGATTTAAATTATCCAGAAGTTCTTCAGAGTTTTTAAGAATCCACATATGGTTAATACCCCTACGCAAATAAACAGTTTCACAGAATTGTTTAGACCCTCTTTCACTGCGGACAGAATATTTGTTCATCTAATGGACAATTCTTTGTAGAACATGCAGATGAGCCGGCAATGTACCGTTGTTTGCACGGAGTTTTTTTTAAGCTGAGGTAAAACAAACAAGGTAAGTGTGTCTTTCTATGTTTCACTAATATTTCAGGTTAGGATGAAGGTTGGCGCCTGTTAAAACGTTAAAACCGCTGTATTTATTTGCACCTGTCCTAAGTCAGGAACCTGTTGTTCAGTGGTTGGCCTTTGTTGATGTGGTTCATAAGTGTTTCTCGTTTCTCGTTTTTTATATAGATTAGACCGTTGGTTTTCCTGTTTGAATGGTTTTACACTAGTCATTTTGAAGCCCTTTATAGCTTGCTGTTCGGTGTGAGCCAAGGCTCCGTGTTGAAGGCCGTACTTTGATCTATAATGGTTTACTTTTACAAATTGTGACTAGGATGGAGAGTTGTCCTATTGGCACTCGTACCACATCTTCTTATATCTATTTAAGTCCTTAGTTAAAGGACATGTTTTATTAATTATTTCAAATGTCTCCAAGGCAATGGAGCGCATTTTACGAGTTTTTAGTGTAGGAAGGATGTGATAGCCTTCATAAATAAAGCGACGCGCTTGTTCTTGTGTTTTGTTCTGTTTTCAAATGGCATAAAACAAAAAAATAGACATAATAAATGAGTAATAAATTGTATGTTTACTCAATTTGTTTAGTTGTTTCACCAATTCTTTTCAAAACACTTAATTGCCTTTAAAATACAGAGCCTTTTTATTTGAAGTATGTAAATTAAAGTTTAATTTAAAATCAATTGAAAAAAGTCATTTATAAAAAATATTAAATGGAGTCGGCACATGGATGGAACCTTGTGGTACCCCTTTAAATATATCCAGCAAACCACTTAAATTTTGGTTTACTTTCACACGATGCTTCCTGTTTGTTAAATAACTATATAACATATCAAGTGAGGATTTTGAAATTTTGTAACATAGTTGAGTTGAAGTCTATATGCTTCCCAGTTCTTACTACCACTGGGTTTTTGAGTTTTATTATACATCATTTTCTTCCTATAAATTGCACTTTTTAAGCTCTGCGTTCATATATGGTACCTGATTTAGAAATATTTTTCTTTCCTTTAAAGGTGCACGTTTGTCAGGTTACCTCAT